ACCTGTAATCCCAGCACTCTGGGAGGCCGAGGCAGGTGAATTGCTTGAGCCCAGGAGTTTGAGACCAGCCGAGACAACCTGGCAAGACCTCATCTCTACAAAAAATATAAAATTTATCCAGGCATGGTGGTGCGGGCCTATAGTCCTGGCTACTTGGTGAGGCTGAGGTGTGACAATCGCTTGAGCCTAAGAACTTGAGGCTGCGGTGAGCTGTGATTGTGCTACTGCGCTCCAGTCTGGGTCACAGAGCAAGACACTGTCTCAAAAAAAGAAAGAAAAAATGAAGCCAGGTGAAGTGGCTCATGCCTGTGATCCCAGCACTTTGGGAGGCAGAGGCAGGCAGATCACTTGAGGCCAGAGATCCAGACCAGCCTGGCCAATATAGCAAAAACAGCCTGACCATTGCTACTAAAAATACAGAAAATTATCTGGGCCATGGTGGCACATGCCTGTAATCCCAGCTACTTGGGAGGCTGAGGCACAAGAATTGCTTGAACCTGGGAAGTGGAGGTTGCAGTGAGCCGAGATTGTGCCACTGCACTCCAGCCTGGGTGACACAGTGAGACCCTGTCTCAAAAAAAGAAAGAAAGAAAAAAAAAAAAAGAAAAAAGAAAAAAAATTAGCCAAAGACTGGGAGAAAATAGTTGCAAACCATATACAACTATATATGGTTGTATATATGGTTGTATATATTTTGGTTGATATCCAAAATATATAAAGAATTTTTACAAATCAATAATAAAGAGACAAACAATCCTAATAAAAATGGGCAAAAGACTTGAATAGATATTTCTTCAAATATGTATATGAATGACTAATAACTACACGAAAGATACACAACAGTCATTAGATAAATGAAAATTAAAACCACAATTATATATCATGTCATGTCCACTAGGATGGTTATAATCAAAGAGACAGAAAACAAGTATTGGTGAGGATATGGAGCGACGAATCCTCATATATTGCTGGTGGGAAAACTTTGAAAAACAGTCTAGCCGTTTCTTAAAAAGTTAAACGCTAGCCTGGGCAAAATGGCAAAACCTTGTCTCTACAATAAATACAAAAAAGTTAGCTGGGCATGCTGGTGCGTGTCTGTCGTCCCAGCTATTCAGGAGGCTGAGGCAAGAGAATAGCTTGAGTTCAGCAGGTCGAGGCTGCAGTGAGCAGTGTTTGCACTGCTGTATTCCAGCCTGGGCAACAGAGCGAGACCCTGTCTCAAAAAAAAAGTTAATCATAAACTTAACACATGACCCAGCAGTTCTACCCTTAGGAATCTACCCAAGAGAAATGAAAACACACACCTATGCAAAGACACCAAAACATCTGTAGCAGCATTCTTCAAAACAGACAAAAAACACTGGAACCTTAAATATCCATCAACTGGTGAATTAAGAAACAAAATGTGGCAAAACCACACGTGGAATACGACTCAGCAATGAAAAGGAACAAACTACTCTAGACGCTACAGCATGAATGCATCTCAAAAAACATATTGAGTGAAAGAAGCCGTAAGCAAAAGACCACATAGCATATTATTCTGTTTATATGAAACATCCAGAAAAGGCAAAGTTAGAGACAGAAAGCAGATCAGTGGTTGCATAGGACTGGAATTGGGAGCTGAATTGACCAGAAACAGGTGGGAAGGACTTACCAGGTTGACGGAAACATTCTGTAACTGGATTGTGGTGATGGTTAGGCAACTGTACAAATGACAGCATTTTCTTTCTTTTCTTTTCTTTTTTTTTTTTTTTTTTAACACAGTCTCACTCTGTCATCCAGTCGTCCAGGCTGGAGTGCAGTGGTATCTCAGCTCACTGAAACCTCCACCTCCCAGGTTCAAGCGATTCTCCTGCCTCAACCTCTGGAGTAGCTGGGATTACAGGTGTGCACCACCACACCCAGCTAATTTTTGTATTTTTAGTAGAGACAGGGTTTTGCCG